CCCCCACTGCTGTTCCTTTTGGAAACCTGCAAACTACCCAGCTGCAGGCCATGGGCTCATGAGTGTCCTGAACCCAGGCCACGCCCTCCAGTAGTTTGTGTGTATTGGTTTTCATGGTGTAATAGATAACTAGAACAGGCTGGATCCGACACAATCCTGGCACTTATCCCAGCACTCCAGAGGCTGAGGCAGGAAGATGGTCCCAACTGCAAGGCCGTCTTGGTCTAAAACACATCCAACCTTTTGTCATTGTCATCTACAAAGTTCACACTCAAGAACAGAAATGCAGTTACACACACACACACACACACACACACACACAGAGAGAGAGAGAGAGAGAGAGAGAGAGAGAGAGAGAGAGAGAGAGAGAGAGAGAGAGAGAGATTGTCTTGTCTTGCTTTTAAATCTTCACATTTCAGTAAGTTTAAGATTGTGTGCTTGGTTGCTTTGTAGCTCCAAGTTGGACGTACTTGCCGAAGCTGCAGGCCAGCAAGCTTAGCAAATCTAGACTTTGTCTCAAAAAAAAAAACAACCAAAAAAAACAAAAAAAACAAAAAAGCAGGAATGAAAAGATTGTTGTTGATGGTGGTGGTAGTGAAGCCCGGTAGTGGTGGCACTTGGAACACAGAAGCAGATGGATCTATGCGTTTAAGACCAGCCTGGTCTACAGAGAGTTCTAGGATTCTCCGGGCTACACAGGGAAACTCTACTTCGGAGGGGAAAAAAAAAGTTCTCAATTATCCCACTGCAGCGGGGTGGTGGCCTCTCTCCGGGTGGCGGGTGGCGTGGTGGCGGCAGCGGCAAGAGGCAGGGGTGCGCAAAGGCGCTTGGGGCACTGATCGAGCGGTCCAGCAGGGACCGTCCCGTTTTGCACGACGGGTGGTGGCCGCTTCCCCGCGGGGCAGCTCTGGCCGCGCCTTCCGGGAGACCACGGAGGAGGCAGCGCGGGCGTCTTCTTATCGAACCCATCTCCCGTTACATAAGGCCGCGCCCCTATCTCTGCGGGCCATCGCCGCGCCAGTGCGCCTTCTCCCACGCGCGGGGGGCGCCTACCTGCTGCTCCCCGCACGCCTTCTGCTTGTCAAGGGCAGGGGCCCTTGACTCATCCATACACAGCCTAAGGTGTTTCCCCAAGCCTTTCCCCACCCCAGGAGACCTCCAAGGAATCTGCCACCTTGCCCTGTCCTCCAGATTGAGAAACAGAGGCTCCACAGGGGTCACTTGGCTAGGCAAGGCACTGCAAATCCTGTGACACAAGGGACAGAGACAGATTTCCAGTTCCCAGGCCTATAGACCTCCACTGTGGACAGAAAGCCGCCATGCTGTGCCCAATAGGGAGAGAGCTGGGCAAGGCTAGGTCCTGCAGCAGTGAGGGTGTTAGAGTCCCTAGAGGAAAGCTGTGAGAAGACGGAATCTGGCTGAGGAGAAGAAATGGATGGGGGAAGAGTCTGAGAAAGAAGAGGGGCCATGGAGGGGCCGCTGGTGGCCTAAGAGAGGAAGTGGGTGAGGGTGCACCTTGACATCACTACCCAGTAGGCAAATGCTGTGGCCTCTGCAGGGGGTGGGTCGTTCAGTATGAGGAAAGAGTAGGGAAAAGGCTATGTGCGGGTGTCCCTGCAGCAGAGGAGCTGCCCCTCCTACATTCTGGGAAATTTGAGGCCCTTGCAGGACCAGCGCAGCTTCTGAAGATACCTGGGGGTGGGAGTTGGGGGGGAGTTTGGAGAGGTTGGAGGGGTTGCGGGGAGGAGTGTGGTGGCCACAGTCTCGGCCGAATCAACAGCATTAATGCTCTTTGAGCCACCTGCTGCCTACCCAGCCCAGATATAGTGTCCCAGCAGAAGGGCCCGTCTCCAAGCTGCCTGCTGACAGAATTAGCATTGAAAGAGTTTTACTCATTAAAGGTCAGGGGAATACCTGAGCTGGTTGCATGTCAGTGAACCTTTGGGCAGTACAAACGTCTCTATCCCTCTCACTCGTGAGGCGATGAGCAGTAGTGGTCGGAAGTGACTTCTCCTTATTCTCTTTGCCCTGTTTGAATTTTGTATCCAAACCATGCAGTGCTTTGGTGATTTATGAAATATGTTCATTGAAATTAAGAAGAAGAAAAAAAGGAAAGAAAGAAAGAAAGAAAGAAAGAAAGAAAGAAAGAAAGAAAGAAAG